ATATCTTTATGTAGTGCATTTCTGTACAGGTAGTACATAAACTTATACTGTATGTATTAGTAAAGTTCAGTAACTTCATATACAGTTACTACTGATTGGTTAGTTGCATACTGTATGACGGTTGAATATCGCATAACTTTTTCAGCACCATGCTTTACGATTTAATGTATCGCTCCCTTGTTCGTAGTTTCCGAATGAGTCATCTAGGTCAATGGCTCCGTGGTATTTTGAGGCTACGCCTTGTGCTGATTATAAAACTTAATGGTCAGTAATGAGGTTTTATTACGAAATGCGGGGACGAAAGGCACTCGCATAGGACAACAATGGCTTTGTATCTTGTCCAGTATGGAGGACCGCACAATAATAATATGCTGTCCCTATTGTTCTCAAGCTAACGGCTTGTTTCCGGTTTCGGCTGGTTATAATGAAGCAGAGTGAGTTAAATTCCTTGCTCAGGGGAATTTGCTTTTAAGACAAATACGGTCCTTTTATCAAATTCAAAGCAGACCTCTGTCACTCTGCTCCCGAGCCACCATGAGCAATTAGCCATCGTTGTCAGCGCTTGATGCATCTTGTTAGAGCAATCTGATGTTCATCACCAACGATATTTGATTAGCTGACACCCCTTATATTCTACCGTATGCACATGAAGCACTTTTGTTCGTATTACAGAGTATGTTTAGTGATACAGGTATTCTCCAGTACCAGAATTTATGTATGCTATATTAATAACTGTTGCGTATGGTATTTATAATCTGATACTTACTAACTGTGAGCTGTATTAAAAGCATGTATAAAATATTTTTTTAAACTTATCAGTGCATGGCATAATTATTGTTTCTTTACATGTGTACACATACACATAAATGTGGGAATATTATTAGCCGAACGATTCATGCAACTGAATATGTGATAGATATGTGTTTAGAGGGATGCACCTTGTAAACGTAAGTTGGGGATGACTTGGACAAGAAGGACAGAAGAACCGGACGACGCTTAACGGATAATGTCAGGAAATCGATAAAAATTTATAATCGGTCTCTACAGCGTCCTCACTTTGAATGAGGGCAGCATTTTCCATTTACACTTCCTTGAGAAACACTGTTTGTGATATTTTTTTCTCATCGTTGATCTCTGTTTCCTCAGTTTAAATGTCATCATTCAGACTAGCCTAATTTGAATTCAATGCCGACCAATAGTTGATCGGTACAGCCTGTGGTCACGGTCTGCTTCGTCGATAATGGGCGAACATAGCCACTGACCTGTTTCAGTTGAGGAACATGAATAGCTATCATGGCGAGGGCATTTGTTACTGACGTAGGTTGCTACTGTTAGGATTTATTCCATCAGTGCACTTAACTGAAAAGAATAGGTAGGGATTTTGTTTTGGCTCAGAGAAACAGAGAACACATTTGACACGCTTCAAGCGTATGCAATATCTGTTTCGAGTAACTGCATTTTTGTGAATGCATTAACTGCATAATTTTGCGTCAGTTTCATTTAAATAAGTGGACTTTTCTCATGTGGCCAGCTTTCAGTGAACCAAACTTTCCCAGACTTGGCCAGATGATTCTGGACTATGAATCTCCAATGAAGAAACTGACCGAAGAGTTCGTTCCGCATAATAGGGTAATTACCTGTGACGAATGATTTACGGTTATACCAATGTAGGCTTACAGTTACATGAATTTTAGGTGGTGCTGAATGCACTGGTTTCGCTTACCCCCGTTTACGCCAGGCGCAATCTCAGCGCTGAACAATGGCGAGCTGCGCAGATGCTCAGTTTGGTCAGTTCGCCTAACCAGCTGCTATCCGTGGCACAGACAGAAACGGTATGGGTCATTTTCATTTGCATCACTTGTAGTTATTTGTATTTTGTTCAGGTTGCTTGCGAATACCTGTCTGTCGATCTGATGAATCGTTGGATCATACGTGAGTAACCATTTTTCGTTACTGGCGTGTTCCTTTATACACCTGTGTACTTTTTTAATTTCAGTCTGCCTCACGCTGTGTAACAGCGCTGTCGGGCAGCCAGTTTTCAGCGAACTTTGGCAACAGGCATTGGAGTCTGGACTGACGATGACTTTGTTTCGAGACGAGGTCATCGCCACCCACCATTTCGTACAATCTGTTTTAGAGACGGTGAAAGGGTACATTTCCGTTTAGTCATGTTTCTGCCCTCTGTTGACTTACATCCTTAAAGAGCTGAATCTTTGTTCATTAATATCAGTAATAAAGCTTAGACAACCGTGTCTGCAGAATTGTTGAGATTAAACCTCTGATGTTAAGGAGATGTTTAGCTTGGTTACGGCATATTTTCAAACAGAATGCCGTTTAAGGGTTTAAAGATAATCGGTTGGAGTTGCGGCTTGGTCACTAGTCTTCTAAACTTACAGTGGGGTAAATGAGTACTCTATCATTGTAAGCAGGCAAAGGCTATGAGCTCTCTTTGTTGAGAAGCTAGTACAGTTATCACATAAATACATGTTAGTTTCGCATCCCAACAGTTCAAAATTGCCTTTTACCATATACTTCGCCTTATTTATTAGGCGGTACAGAGGCCGGTTTCTCACCGGGCTCTATTATGGAAGTTTAAATAATGATGAGATTTAAATTATGGAAGTTCGTTTGC